ACACTGTGGACTGTTGAGAGAATAAACAGGCCTGTCCTGGAGAGGTTGAAACCAAGTTGGTCCTTGGAGGCAAAGATTTTGAAACTCTGTCTCAGATACTTGGGGCATGTTGCAGGGAGAGGTCAGTCCTCGGAGAAAGACATCATGCTTGAAAGGACAGAGGTCAGCCCAGAAGAGGAAGACCCTCAATGAGATGAATTGACACAGTGACTGTGGTAAAGGGGTCAGGAGTGTCAGAGGTGGCGAGGTTGGCTTAGGACAGGGCAAAGTCCAGAGTCATTGTTCATAGTTGCTATGCATCAGAGCTGACTTCATGGCACTTAGCAACAATAACAGCATGATGAAGAGGGGGTAGAGCAAAGAATGTAGAAAATTGAACAGAAATATTAGGAGAAATCAGAAAAGAAAGGCAATGTAGATACAGAGAGGATGATTTATCACAATGGTTTGTCCTCACTGTTGCCTGATTTGGGGGAGGGGGGAGGCTCAGCCACAGAAGATGCCATCAAGATTCTCTTTCTTTTTGCCTCCGTATCCAGCTGTGGCATTCCAGCCAAAACCCAGCTTCAGTGGGCACTGCTTTGTCTCCAAAGGCTGTTCAGCAGCTCCTCCATGGAGAGACATTCTTCCTTCAGCACACAGCAGATGGACAGACCTTTCATCCTACTCTTTCCAGGATCAATTTTACTTACTTTGCATGCAAGTTCTCTCTGATTCTACCTTCTTGAGCTGCTGCTTCATCGTGTTCCCCTCCTGGAAACAAGTGGCAGAAAGAGTCAAAAGGATACTGAAGACCCATTTGCTTTCTTCCCAGCTTTTTCCTAGACCTTTTGTCATTATTCCTTTGTTGGAATAAAAACGCTTTCTTAGTGGGCCTATTGTCCTTACCAAGTCTTGCCTAATGTACAGATTTTAAAGTGATTGAATTTACTATGTAATTATTTAAGATAATATATGTTTTTGGTTGTACTTGTTGAGACTGTCATTGAGAGCCAATAGTAGTGAAGGAAGAAGTCCAAGCTGCACTGAAGGCATTGGCAAAAAATAAAGCCATAGGAAGTGATGATGCTGTTCATTTGGATCACTTTTCTTGGGAATGGGAACATATATGGACTTCTTCTAATCCATTGGCCAGAAAGCCATCCTCCAAATTTCCTGGCATAAACTGGTGAGTGTATCCAAGGCTGCATCTGTTAATTGAAACAGGTCAGTTGGTATCCATTTCATTCCTGGGGCTTTACTTTTTGCCAATGCCTTTAATGCAGCTTCCACTTCTTCCATCATTACCATTGGCTCCTGTTCATATGGTACTTCCTGAAATTTTTCAGTGTCAATCAATTCTTTCTGGTACAGTGACTCTGTGTTTTCCCTGCATCTTTTGATGCTTTCTGGGTCATTCAATATATTGCTCATAGCATCTTTCAATATTGTGATACAAGGCTTAAATTTCTTTTTCAGTTCTTTCAGTTTGAGAAATGCAGAGAGAGTTCTTCCCTTTTTATTTTCCAATAAATATTATTCTCCAAGATATAGTCTGTTTAGCTCTTTTACTTCAGCATGTTTTCCTTTAGATTTGACTTCTTGAAGTTCCAGTGCAATCTTTAGAGTCTCTTCTGACATCCATTTTGATTTTTTTCTCCTCTGTTTTTGTAATGACCTTTTGTTTTCTTCATGAACTATATCCTTGATATCATCCCACAATGCATCTGACCTTCTATCACTAGTGTTCAGTGCCTCAAATCTATTCTTAAGATAATCATGAAATTCAGATGGAATTGATTCAAGATCATATCTTGGTTCCTGTGGACTTACTTTCATTTTCTTCGGTATCAACTTGAACTTGCATATGAGTATTTGATGTACAGTACCACAGATATCACATGCAAGCAAAATACTGCTGAAGATCATTGTAAAAAGTACTAGAACAATACATAGATAGGGAACTGCCAAAGGTTCAAGCAGAATTTAGAAGAGGCCGTGGCACCATGGATATTATTGCTGATGTCAGACGGATCCTGAGTGAAAGTAATGAATTCCAGGAGAATGTCTATTTGTGCTTTATTGACTATGCAAAGGCATTTGACTGTGTGGATCATGACAAGTCATGGCTGACATTGAGAAGAATGGAAATCTAAGAGCACTTGATTGTACTCATGTGGAACCTCTATCTGGATCAGGAGGCTGTTGTGTGAATGGAACAGGGAAGCACTGCATGGTTTGGAATTGGGAAGGGAGTGTGTTAGTGTTGTAGTCTCTCTTCTTACCCATTCAATCTATATGCTGAGCAAATTATCCAAGAAGCTGGACTCTGTGAAGAGGAGTGTAGCATCAGGATTGGAAGGAGACTCATCAATAACCTGCGTTTCGCAGGTGACACAAACCTGCTTGCTGAAAGTGAGAAGGGTTTGAAGCACTTGTTGCATAAAATCAAGGAATGCAGCCTTTGGTGTGAATTGCATCTCAATGTCAGGAAAACAAAGATTCTTACCACTAGACTGATAGGTAGTGTTATGATTAGTGGAGAGGATATTGAAACAACAACTTCATCTTGCATGGAGTGACAATTAACACCTTTGATAGCAGTCAAGAGATAAAGAGACACATTACACTGGGAAAACCTGCATTTAGGGACCTTTCCAAATTATTAAGTAGTAGTGATGTCAGTTTGAGGACTTAGGTGCACCTGATTCAGTCTTTCTCATTACTAGCTATACATCTAAGACCTGGACATTGAATAAAGATGACAGAAAAAGAAGTGATGCATTTGAGCTGTGGTGTTAGAGAAGAGCACTGAACATTCCATGGATGGCCAAGAGAACAAACATATATGTGTCGGAGAGTGTACAACTTGAGTGCTCTTTAGAGGCAAGAATGATGAGGCTTTGCCTCACATACTTTGGACCTTTTCTAGGAGGGGCTATTCCTTGGAGAGGGACTTGATGTTGGGAAGGGTGGAGGGTCATGAAGGAGAGGAAGACCCGCAACCAGATGGATTGGTACAGTGACTGCTGCAATGGGCTCTTGTGTGTCAGGAAGTGTGAGGATAGCATAGAACAGAGTTCAGATCTCTTGTTCATAGGGTCAGTTTGAGTCATACTCGACCTGATGCCACCCAACAACAAACAACAACAGCAACAAGGAATTGATGGAATACTAATTGAAGAGTTTTAGGAACAGCTGCAACTTTGGATGTGCTCACCAGTATCTGCCAAAAAATATGGAAGACAGCCACCCAAAGAACTGACTGAACAGATTAATATTTGTTTCAATCTCAAAAAAATGTGATCCAGCAGGTTGTGGGGAATTATCGAAGAATATCATTAGTATCACATGCAAGCAATCCCTTAATGAAGACTACTAAAAAGTGGTTGGAATAGTATATCAAGGGTGAGCTGCCAGGAATTCAGGATGGATTCAGAAGAGGCTGTGACATGTAAACAATGTATCATTATTTATGTGAAGGGATCTTGACTGAAAGCTGAAAATACCAGACAGATGCTCATTTGTGTTTTATTAACTATGCAAAGACATTTGACTGTGTGGATCATAACAAATGATGGGTATACATTGAGAAGAATGGGAATCCCAGAACACTTAACTGTACTCACATGAAACATGTATGTAGACCAAGAAGTAGTCGCCTGAACAGAACAATGGAGTGCTGCATGTTTTAAAATCAGGAAAGGTGTGCATCAAGATTGTGTCTTTTCTCTACACTCATTCAATTTACATACTGAGCCAACAGTTCAAGAAGGTGCGCTCTGTGAAGAAGAATGTGGCATCAGGATTGAAAGAAGACTCATGAACAACTTGCATTAAGCAGATGGCACAACTTTGCTTGCAAACAGTAAAGAAGATTTGAAGCACTTGCTGCAGAAGATCAAAGAATAGTCTTCAATATGTATTACATCTTAATATCAAGAAAACAAAAATCTTCACCACCAGACCAATAGGCAACATCAAGATACATGGAGAAAAATGTGAAGTTCCTAACCTCTTTATTTTAATTACAGCAGCAGTCAAGAAATAAAAAGACGTGTTACACTGGGAAAAATCTGCTGTCAAGGACCTCCCCAAAGGGTTGAACAGCAACAATGTCAATTCAAGACTAAAGTGTGCCTAATTCAGCCATAATATTTTCAATTGCTTTTTATACATCTGAAAGTTGGTCAAGGAATTAGGATGACAGAACAATCAATGCCTTTGAATCATGGTGTTGGCAAAGAGTATTGAATATCCCATGGGTCGCCAAAAGAACAAACAAATCTGTCTTGAAAAAAGTGCAACCAAAATGCTCCCTAGTGGCAATGATGGGGAAGTTTTTTCTCATTACTTTGACCATATTCTCAGGAGGACCAGTCACTGGGGAGAGATGACATGATGGGAAAGGAAAAAGGTCAGCAAAAGAGAGAAAGACCCTCAATAAGATGAACTGATAGAGTTAGTATCACAATGAGTTCAGGCATGATGAGGATGGTGCAGGATAGGACAAGGTTTCCATCTATTGTCTGCAGGGTCGCTGTTCATCAGAGTTGACTCGAGGGCACCTAAGAGCAAAAAACATTGGGAATATATACAATAAAACATAAACCAGATCAAGTTTCTACATGTACAATTCAGAGATACTGATTACGCTCTTTGAGTTGTTCAACCATTCTCATCCTCCTTTCCTGTCTTCTTCTTTATCTTCTCATCCAAACTCACTGGTCCCTACATCTTCCATCCAATTTTTGGAGAAGATAATGTCAATTTGGTCCCATGCAGATCTTAAAAGACATGAATGTAATGTCAGTTTGGTCCCATGTGGGTCTTAAAAGACATGATTCTCAAAGCAGATATTTTAAACTAGTTACGCTAAACCCTTATTTACTTTAAAGAAGACTTCAAGCAACTATTTTTTTGTTTATACTTTAAAGTTTATCTCCAGGTTATAGTTTTGTGGATTCATCCAGCCTTTGTGGTACTCTAATTCTTCATTTTTACAGACACATATGGAGATAGAGTCTGGCTTCAAATGACTTGATCTCCAAAAGCCAATCAGTGACTATCTGAAATGGTGGTCCCCTCCTTACTTCCCACTTTTTTCAAGGGTAAGTATTTAATGAAACCCTGACCATTATAAGCATTGGTCTACTATATCCATCATATTCACTGGATACTGGGTCAATTGGTTGTACAACAATCCAGATTTCAGCTACCAATCAAAAGTCTGACAGTTCAAACCCACCTAGTGACTGTTTCTTACCAGTGGGTTTTTGGAAGCTGCAAATGGCATAGGAGGAGAGGACTCATCTTTCTCCGTGGAGCCACTGACGGATTTGAGTTGGCAGAGAGGTGCTGCTTTTGGGTTAGTAGCTCAGTGTCCTAAGGACGGTACCACCAGAGATCCCTCTTTTGAGAGGTTTGTGTTGTGGTTTTTTTTTTTTTTAAGTTTTTATTAGTTTTTTTCTAAATTACTTTATACTGGTTTACATACAAAGTTCATAAAGTTCATGTATGTTGTTTTCACACCAGATATTTCCCCTTTACCTACCCCTCCCTCCACCCATCAAATTGTGCAACCCTATGTTTAAGCCTCTTACCCCCATTGGATCCTCTTTGTACATGCTCTACAACAATGGTCTTATAAAGTATTTCTCTTTATGAGACTGGGTTAGTTCACTCAGCATTATGCTCTCCAGTCCCTCCATGTTAGGTAGTAATTTATAAAATCATCGCTCCTGCGTGCTGCATAGTATTCCATTGTGTGAATG